ATCAAAATAATTCTAAAATATATAAAAAAATAAAATTTAAAATTTTATAAAATAATAATTACATCGTAATTCCAAACACACACTAAATCAACGTAGTCATTTGATTCATACAAGATTATGATTAAATCTCAAATTTGTTTAGCGACTAATTTCAACAGAATAAAATGTTTCGAGGATGGACTATATATTGACTAATAATTAGGGGGGCCGAACACCTCTTACCCTTATCTTATCTTCTTCCTTAGATTTTTTACACTGTAACTGCTTCTTGCTCTTGCCCTCTCAATCTCTTCCATTTCCAATTGTTTTTGCTGATTTATCTGTTTCATTTTTGTCTTGTTCCACTCCTGCTGCAAACTATCTAAGCCAAGAACCTCTGATCCTTCCCCAGAAGAAAACCCCAAAAGCTAAAACTTCTAATCATCTCCAATGAAACCATTAACCACAAATCTCCCTTTCAAGCCACCCGTAACTTTTCCACTCTAAATATGCAATCACCTACCATACCCACTTTCCCAACTTCACTTTTTCCTCCAAAAACCCTCCTTTTCTCTTCAAAAACCCAGTCTTTTCCATCAAAAAGCTCACTTCTTGCCCAAAGTTGTCATCTGTTCAGGCCAGAAATGGCTTCTCTAAGTGGGTTTATTGTAAGATCACAAACGGGTACTTCTTCAAGTGGTGAAAAGGGGTTTTCTACTTTGAGTGAATATATGGGGAAGGGAGGGATTGATGTGGGAGATGAGTTAGTGGTATTGTGTGATCATATACAATATGCCTGTAAGAGAATTGCAGCTCTTGTGGCTTCTCCTTTCAACTCTAGTCTCAGTAAACAGAGTAATTTTGCTGGAGGCGACAGTGGTTCAGGCAGAGACGCACCAAAACCTCTTGATATTGTCTCAGTATGTCTACCTCTTACTGCTCCCTCTGTTTTTAATGATGTTTAGAATTTTTGTTTTTTGGGTTGTAGTGGAGTTTAACTAGTTACGATAGGTGAAAATAATGAAAGAAGCTTGTGCCTTTATGGTATATTGGATTATAAGGTCCTTGAGATTTGAGGGTTTCCTGCTGTGTTTATGAAGCTAATGCTTCTTTCATAACACATGCAAACTTTATTTGGTAGTGTTGGAGTGCCCCCCACTTATATATAGCCATTTTCCATCTTATGATGTTTAGTTATGCCTTCACAGTATGTTGCATTCTAAGGTCTAAATATTTTTCTGGCTTGAAAGTTGTAGTCGTAGACTTTTTTAAGTTTTGAAGGTAATTGTTGATTGTGGCATAGAGTGGAGTTAAAAAAAAAAATTGTGAAAGGAATTGCTGGTCTTACTGCGCCAAACTAATTCCTTTAACCAGATATAAGAATCAAAACAAAAGGAAGTGACATTTTTGGCCAATGGATTGTGTTGTGCAGAATGAAATCATCTTATCTTCCCTTAAAAATTCTGGAAAAGTTGCTGTTATGGCTTCAGAAGAAGATGATGCTCCAGTTTGGATTAATGATGATGGTCCATTTGTGGTGGTAACAGATCCTCTTGATGGGTCTCGAAATATTGATGCCTCCATTCCTACAGGAACAATTTTTGGGATATATAGGCGCCTTGTTGAACTGGATCATCTACCTCAGGAGGAAAAAGCTACGCTGAATTCATTGCAAAGTGGAGCCAAGCTTGTAGCTGCTGGGTATGTTCTCTATTCATCAGCCACTATACTGTGCACCAGCTTTGGTTCTGGAACGCATGCATTTACACTGGATCATTCCACAGGAGACTTCATTCAGACTCATATAGACATTAAGATTCCTCCTCGAGGTAATACTTCTAATTATGCTAGTATTATTAGTATTTGAAATGTTAGATTTGGAACTTCATTTGGACAATCACAATATATTATAAAAATTCAAGAATTCTATAATAATCAAGCAAATCCATCTATTTAAATGTAGCTCCTGATTGAGTGTGATATTGTCTATATTGCTTAGAGCAGAAAAAATAAATATTAGGAAGCCAAATGCACTCCTGAGTCTCATATTACTACATTTCAGTTAGTCTTTGATCCCTGTTGGATTGGAGCTTAGTACCAATTACATTCTCTAGATTTTAACATGAAAATTTTCATTCATTATAGAACCATATTGGAATTATTGAGTTGTAATTTAGTAATCACAGCCATCATTATAATTTGTCTGTTGGCATCCGTATTTGTTTGAAGAGAAAAGGAGAAATATCAAGTTTTGATATAGAAGCCATAAGATCCCATTATGACTGTTGTTTACTGTGCCAGGGCAAATTTATTCTGTAAATGATGCGCGATACTTTGACTGGCCTGAAGGATTAAGGCAATATATTGACACTGTTAGACAGGGGAAAGGCAGATACCCCAAGAAGTACTCTGCTCGTTATATATGTTCTCTCGTAGCTGATTTCCATCGAACACTGTTGTATGGTGGTGTTGCGATGAATCCAAGGGACCATCTTCGTCTAGTTTATGAGGCAAATCCTCTTAGTTTTCTTGTTGAGCAAGCTGGGGGCAGAGGTTCTGATGGTAAAAGCAGGATTCTCTCTATGCAACCAGTCAAATTGCATCAAAGATTGCCTTTATTTTTAGGAAGTTTAGAAGACATAGAAGAGTTAGAGAGTTATGGAGATGTTCAACAGAAAGTAAACCCTGGATATGAAGTTTGATTCTATGCTGATCCTTCAACAGTTGTGATAAGAATTGACTTCAGTTGTTCTGCTGCTAGTTTCCTATTCATTAACAATTTGCAATTTTCAAGTCCCTGTAGACCATTCCAAATTCTGAGTGCTGACAGTTGCATGACTCTCATCTTTCCTGCCCAATCGACAAACATAGCTTGGAGAGTTTTGGCATGAAAAATTGGAAGGCCATGTGGGATTTAATGTTGTTCCTTCTTGATGTTCTTCCCTTTCCCTGTTTGAAGGGCCAGCTTTTTCTTCTTGTACCATTACATCAAATAATCACACCATTGCAAATTATTGTATAAAAAATCGTGTCTTGTATGATAGATCCACTTCTCCCTTCATAGAGTTCCATTGGCACCCATATCCTTTTTATTTTACTGAACGTAACTTCCTTGCTGATATATCTTTCGCTGAGTAAAGATCGCTAAATACTTGCACACTGGTAACTTTTTGAGATACAAGATTTATTCAGCACCGTGAAGTCTCAGAATCCAGGATTTATGAGAAGAAAATCTTGGATAATAAATCAATGAAATGTGTAAAGTTCAAGTTACTGATTTAAACTTGACTGTGTTTCCATCTTTTAGAGTATGAGTTGTAGTTCCAATGTCTACTTCTCATCATCAGCAAGGTCGAGGTCTAAAAATTCATGTTGCTTTATTCGGCATGTCTGCATCATGTCATTTGTATGCTCTGCTTATTTCATACCATTTTCGAAAGATATTTGAAGCTACCTTTTCTTATAGTTGACCAATTGCTGGACAAAGTTACTTGTATACTCTTATTGTAGATTTTGATCCGTAGTAATGACTGCTATCTGGCTGCCTTCAGTCGTAAGGGCTCTCCTTTCTCCACGATTACTATTCTCAGTGACTTGGCAATATCTTCTCTGTTGAAGGAGCCATTTGATTCCTTTGCACTTCAAAGTAGATTCTTTGTTCTACTGACATCTATGCATTCACACCATTGGTCAGCCATCATAGGCGTGTGTGTGTTAAGGAGTGGCCAAAACCAGGTGATTCAATGATGGAGCTCCATCCTGAATGGAAGAGGCACCCTCCAATAGATGGATGAGCCAGTATAAATAGCTGTGGACCCCAACCAAGACTGACAATGCCTTGACCAGATGTTCAAGCCAAAAGCCATTAGGCAACAACTCTGAGTCATCTAGTCCTTCTGGTTTCCAAAGAATCCATAGAAAAGGAAGCTCAGAGAGCCCCAGCCCATTGGCCAACTCTTCAATTTGTCGGGAAGGCATCTTTTACTCACCCCCAAATACCACAGATTTTGCCTCTGTCGATCCAGCTACTTAAAAGTGCTCGACCAATTTGAGTTAGACAGGTCAGAGGTTTCACTATCGACAACATTTAGCTGAATCAAATCCACTGGTAAAACTGGTTTTTTCTACAGTTCTTGAAGCAGATTCATATATTTTTCTTCAAACTCATGACAGCTACATTCTTTAGCATGCTAGTCCCATTATAGTTTGTAGGCTAAACTAACACAAGACCGGAACAGATTCGCATTTGATAAAAAATTTAAGGTGTTGACAATAATGCACTACGATTATTTATCTAGTTTTTCAGGTTCTTAGAAATCCTGATGTGTAGGACGTTGCTATTCGGCAGAGACGAGCTGCCAAATCCAGCTCATTCTAAAGAAGGTAAACTCTATGCTTTCACAGCCTTTCCACTGGACATATTTGCCTTTTTTTTAATTAAGTTTTCAGAGAAGCCAAAAATGGCTTCCTTTGATGGGTTAAACTTTCCTTGCTGGATGAAAGAAAAACTCGATGCCCCTTGACAAATTAAGATGACTGGAAAAACAAACTCCAAAAGAAAGGGAGCAACCCCCACATATTTATTTATGCTGATGAATACTTGCAGAGTAAATTTAAGTTACAGGATTCAGTCGCTGTTGTGAAGTCTCAGAATCTAGGAGGAGCTTGGGGTACAAATCGAAGAAGTTCAACTGATTAATTTAAATATGAGCAATATTTAAGATGTATAGTTTATGTGGATTTAATATTATGGATAGTAACAGAAATGGCATGGATATATTCATCAGCGATGTAGAAGGCTAAAATTTTGATCTCTGGAAAAAACAAAAGAAGCAGCAGCCTAAAAATTCGTGTACATTATACAGCACTTATTTTATGCATTTTACATCATGCCATCGCTATGCTGCTTCTTCCATACCATTTCCTGAAGATGGATGACACTTTTTATTTTCATAGTCGACCACGTAATGGATGCATGAGCTAGTATTTCAAGTTGCGGTGCCCAGCCTTTTTCTTGATGTTTAATGTTCCCTTTTCTTGAAACTGCTTGTATATCGAATAAACTTGCTGATGTAGTCATCCTGCAGGTGCTGACTAGCAAATATTGCTTGCAGTTCGGAGGTCTTACGTCTTATAGTCTCCCCTTCTTCGGCGACCATCACTAGTCTCATTGACTTGGCAACCATGTCTCGGTTGAATGAACCATCTTTATTCCTTGGAACTTCGAATCCAGCGCTCTTTTCCACTAGTAACTTAGCATTAAGTGTCTGGTCGTTGACCATAGGCATGAGAATTAAGGGGTGTCCGAAACCAAGTGATTCAATGATGGAGCCCCATCCTGAATGAAAGAGGCACCCCCCAATGGATGGATGAGCCAGTATTTCTTGTTGTGGAGCCCAACCAAAACTAACGATTCCCCGATCTGAGATCCGAGAGACAAACCCGGTTGGCAATAAGTCTTGGCTGTCAATACCTTCTGGCTTTTTGAGGATCCACATGAATGGCAGCCCAGAAAGTTCAATACCATAGGCTAATTCATGGATTGTTTCAACTGGCATCTTGTACTCACTTCCAAATCCCACAAAGACCACAGACTTTTGCTCTTGTTTGTCTAGCCACTTAAAAGCACCATAAAAATTGGAGGATTCAGGATAGCTAGTTTTGTTTTCAACAAAATTTGGAGGTAGCAAGCCGATCGGTAAAACTGGCTTTTGGTAGATTTCTTCTAGGACATTCAAATAGGAATCTTCAAACTCTCTACAACTCCTTACCGCAACCAGGTCACATTCTGCCAGAGTTTTTGCCCGCCGTTGGCCAGTTGAAATTCCAGATACATCAGGAATGTATACATGTTGCATAAACCTTGTTCCCTGGTCAGGCCTGTAAGCAACAAGTGAAGGGAAGGGGATCCATTCTGGAGCTCTTGCATAATCTTCTGGTCTAGTACGTAGACGGAAGGAACGTAACTCATCTGGTGGCCCTAGATATGCTGATGAGGCAGCTGATAATGGACTGAAAAACACAGAAGTAATCCCATATCTAGCTGCAATAGCTGGGATCCAGCAAGCAGCAAAGTCAAAAAGAATCATCTGTGGTGCTTCTTTTTGAACCAGGCTCTCAAAGGGCACCTTTAAGGCATCATATGCCTGCTTTAGATACTGTATTTGCTCCGGTGACAGGTCAATGGTGGCCTCACAGTTTTCAGGCAGGCCATCAACAATTGGTAGTTGGATCTCGATGAACTTGAACCTGCCTGAAATATCTTGAGGAATGGAAGGAAATCTCTTAATATTTATTGGGGTGGATATGAATGATATATGAATACCCTTCGCTGCTAATTGTTTCGAAAACTCGAGATACGGTAGTATGTGACCAAATGCTAACCAGGGGAACATGAACACATGGGATTTGGAAGCCATGGATGCTTTGAACCAGTTATTGACTCGCTGCTCTAAGAAAAGGTTGAGGTTTTTTACGTCACATCAGTGCAGCAAGACATGTTATTACCCATTATTTCTGACCTTTTCTCCATCTCATGAATTATTGGCTGATGTCATACGCTTTTTATTCAAAACAGAATGATAACTCAAACCCTACCACATATTTTCCTTCTTGTTGGCATGTGAGATTGAAGTTCAAAGAATCTACCCAAATTAGATGCGAGTAAAAAGCACCTACTTTGGGGTGTTTGTCCATTAGCATGACATAATACCAGCGTATCTAAAAGCACAATGGCTCTATAAACTTGGAAATTTATCTAAAGAGTCCGTGAGCCCTACTTTGGCCCTAAGCTTCAAGTCCAGATACAAGGCCATCAAAATAACACCAACATTTTCATGCCATTTTTCATAATTTAATTTTGGACCCTTTAAATTTATATTTTTTATTAAAAATTCAAAATATTTTTGAGATACGAGGAGTTAAGCTTTCAAGCTGTAAAAAATCAAAACAAAATCAAAACACTAGAAAAATAACTAAAAATCAAAACACTAGAAAAATAGCTAAATTGAGATGTTTTGAAAAGATGAGATGAAGAAAAAAAAATGAATTGAAGATGAAGTTCAAACTTGACCAAAATTTAAAAAAATAATTAAGTCTAAAGACCTAGTCTTTAAACTTCTAACATGTTTAATTGATTTATATAGGAGTTAATTGAAGTAAGAATTAAGTTTGAAAGTTAATTGAAAAAAAAAATAGAAGAATTAATTAAGTTTAAAGACTTAATTGAACTTTTAATAAGTTTTGTGGATCCAATCAAAGACTCAATTGAAAAAAAAAATTGAAGGCTTAATTCGGATTAATTTGCAAAATTAAAAGATTGAGGATATAATTGAAACCTTGAAAAGTTAAATTGGTGCAATCAGGAGCTTAATTGCAAGAAAATAAAAGTTTAGGGGTAAATTGAAGAACCCTAAAACCAAGGATCAAAGTGAAAGAGGCACACACATTTAGAGATCAAAATTGATTAAAATCAAAGATAAATTTAAAGAAATTGAAAATTTGAAAATTAATTGAGGATGAAATTGGAAATATACAAGACTAAGGGATATATTAAAAAAGACACTAAAAATTAAAAAAGACATTGAAAATTAAAGATCAAAATTAACATAACCAGAAACTTTAATCTAAAAAAAAACAGGCTTAATCAGCCAAATTCGACACAGTTGGAAGATCAATGGCCTTTTTGTAAAATAAAAAAATGATGTTGTTTTGACACCTCTGTTGATTTTCTTCTTCATTTATACCATGAGGAGCTAGTTGAGGGTCTTTTCTTATAGAACATTTAATACTCTATCATGCCTCAAGCAAGACAAAAAAAAATGCTCATCTAGTAGCCCTACCATCGTACTACCTCCTAACATGATTCTCGTCGAGTGGTTCCTCTTGTAACCACTACAATACTGATTGAAAACCACTAACTCGACCATCCTTTGATTGCATAGTTTAAGAGTACCATGTTGTTATCTTAGCACTAATAACTAGGATCATTCCAAGAAGATTAAAGAGGGTTAACAATTCAGATAAAAAAGATCATATGCATCTTCATCACCTCCAATAAATAAAAGCCTCATTTAATTCCAAAAGGATATTGGACTTAAGACTAAAAGGCAACAAATGAAGATTAAAAAAAAAAACACCACCTTCCTTATTCTAGCCAAAAACATCACATATAAACACTCATTACAAAGTTAGTCATCAAAAACCATAAACCTGCATCTACCTGTTTTTCCCTCTCAACTGTCACTACCACTCCTACACCAACTCCTCCATAACTTTAACAACCTCTCATCCATGCCATTATCTCCTCATCATAACAACATTAATTTCTCTTCTATCAATATTTTTTCAATCTAATACGACATCTCTTTTAGAAGTAGTTCAGTTCCACTAGCACTAGTACAACAACATTATTATCACTTCCTTCACAATTACCAATCTTCCATGCCGTGATCAAGAGTATTCTTCTCAGCCACGCCAATCTCCACCTCGAGCCACCAAGCACGCTAATAGTAATGCTTTTCTTTTGGCCAAGCAAGTTCATTGCTTCCTTCCCTCATGCACCCTTTTGGCATGTAAGACATAAATTAATTAGCGCCTTACTTTAGCTAGCTTTTGACAACAAAGAGCTTATGTGGGCTGGACCCTTAGCCTATTTTGTATGGATGGGCTTAGTCCAACCCACCTCTAAAAAAAAGTTAGCTGGGTAATCTATCGACCTAACAAAATGAGTGAGACTGGGCCTAAGCCCAACCCATATAAATGGACTTGAGCCTCAAGCCTAATAAACCTAACTATATGGGTGGGCCAAACCCAAACCCAGACTTAAAAGCCTGTTTGGCCCACCCCATTTTTTTTCTTTAAGAAATAAGGCCTTATTTGGCTCCTTAAAGGGTGTTTGTCAAACACGCTCTTAAGACAATTTTTTATGCCTCTAATTATATGCTAAGAGGGCATTTGGCAAACACGCCCTAAGTTTTTTTTTTTAGTTTTAATTTGTCTATATTTTTTTATCTAACCAAACGGACCCTTAAAAATCTAAAAAAAATCAAGGATTATTTTGAAATTATATGTGGGTCCCTCACATATTTTTCAAATAATTTTACCCAATATCAAACCGTAAACTTATATTGTAATATATAGACTCAGTATTAAAAATATTATATTTCTCCTCCAAAAATCTCAAAAAAGATAAAAAAAACTTAAAAATAATCATTTATTTCAAAAACACAAAACTATGTTTCTTTTCAGAATTCTACTTAATACCGGGGTTATAGACTTATACTTTAAGATATTGATCAGATATTAAAAATACTCATTTTTAGTCGTAATTTTCAGAAATTCCATAAGCAGTTCTAAAACATTTTCTCATTTCAACAATAAAAATGTTTTATTTGGTGTGCATACAGCTAGATTCTAAAATTTTCATGTATTTTTTATATGAAAAAATAAAAATTATATTTTTGTCATACGTAAAAAAATACAAAAAAAAATAGTAAAGGGGTATCACAACAAGTTTGTGATTATCCAATAGGATTTTGCCAAAATTTCAAATAAAAAACCCTTTTTTTTATTTCTTAACCTTTATTATACTTAGATTTTAACTTGATAAGATAAAAATCTTTTTACTAATGAGAACTTTTTTCAAATCTTAGATAGATTTTTCTGGGTTTTAGAATAGTTAAGTTTTAACTTAATGAGATAAAAAACTCTTTTTTAAGAAAAACTTTTCTTAAATATTAGATAAACTAACAAATAAAAACACGACTCAGAACAAATAACAAAATAATTTATCATAAATAAAATGCATTGAGGTGATACATTTTTTCCTCCACAGCCAATTCTCTTATTTAAATTCTCATAAATTATTGAAATTTTTACTAACTATAATATTAAATAGTTACTCCCTTCCTTTTTTTTAAATGGATAAAAAATAAAAATTCACCGTCCTTTCTATTTACATCTATCCCAAGAACTGTTATCCAAAAAATAATCATCACATCACCGCACAGTACAACACCATTAAAGAAGGGGCAATGTGCTAAACGTTCGTAAAAGCGTAAAAAAGAGCAAAGGTTAAAGATAGGTCCGCTCCGAACTTTTCAGTATATCAGGAATTCAATATATGTGGTAGCATCTGAACTGTCCAAATCTACAGATGCAGAAGGTTTACGAGAACAGTTAGCTACTGCTGCTTCAAACATTCTTGTTTTCAACTTGATGGCAATAGCTTTTCTAAGAAACAGAAAGTTTTATTTCATCTAAACAAAAGTTGCAGCTACTAGAAGCTGTATATTATGAAAAACTTGGCAAATTCGTAGAAAAATATGCTGTTGTTCTTCTTGTAGATCCCGCTTAGCAAAAATTGTTTGCATTTCAGCTGCCTGATACCGTAAATGCTGTCCTTCTTGATCTGCTATCACGAATCTCAGGGACATGGAAATTGAGTGTTGGTTGTATGCGCCATCTTCATTGCTTTGCACCTGAAAGCCAATTCCTTTCTCAAATAAAAGCTTGGCATTAAGACCTTGGTCAGCTACCATAGGCATGAGTATCTGAAGTGCCTGTCAGAGAGCGATTCTATGATAGAACCCCATCCAGAATGAAGGACACACCCTCCTATGGCAGGATGTGCAAGAATTTCGGATTGTGGTGCCCAACCAAGACATACAATTCCGCGATCAGATGTGCGGTCCAAAAATCCAGTTGGAAGCAGTTCTGAGATGTCCAGTCCTTCTGGATTCCTCAGAATCCATATAAATGACAGCTTGGAAAGCTCAATTCCATGGGCCAATTCATGGACTTGTTGAACAGGCATTTTGTACTCTGTTCCGAATCCGACGAAAACCACTGATTTTCGTGCTTGCTTGTCCAGCCACTTGAATGCTCCTGGCCAATTTGGAAGATCAGGATAATTGTTTTTTTCCTCTGCAGTATTTCGTGGAAGCAGACCGACTGGAAAAACTGGTTTCTGGTAGAGTTCTTCAAGGAGAGCTACATATGCTCCTTCAAACTTTCCACAGCTTCGCACTGCAACAAAGTCTCACCCCTCCAATGTTGCAGCAAACCGCTGAGCAGTCGACTTACCAGTCACGTCAGAAGAGTTCATATCATGGAACATTACTGCTGCTCGATCGGGTCTGGGAATTCCTCACGTAGAAGCTTTTCGAATGAGGCCTGTAAGCCATCAAATGCTTTCTAGCTTCAAGTACTGAATTTGGTCTAGCTGTAGGTCAATGGTAGCCTGACAGTTTTCTGGCAAGCCATCAACAGATGGTAACAGAACCTCCACAAACTTTAAATGGTTTACCAAATTTGAAGGAACAAGAGGCAGCCTCTGAAGATTTCTCGGGGTGGAAATGAAGGAAACTCAAATACCCTTTGAAGCTAATTTCTTGGAGAATTCAAGTGACGGGATCATGTGGCCAAATGCCAACCATGGGAGCATCATTACATGAAACTGTTTAGAAGCCATAAATCCTCTAAACAAAGAGCAAGCCAAATCTGTGATTCATGACTTCTTGCCTATATAGTGAGAAACCATTCTAGATGCGTCCACTCTACAGGTTGTTGCGCATGCTATTTAATGCTACGTTTATTTTTTGAAATTTATGTTTTGTGAAATTATTTTTTAAATTTTTTTATATTTATTTATTATTAAAAAAGTTGATCAATGGAAAACACTTTCCAGTTAAAGAAAAATTTAGCTTAATTTTTAGAAAAGTGTTTTCTTGAAAAATTTAGGCAAAAAACAATTTTTGAAAGTTGTGAAAAATTTAGAAATATCATATTATTTATTGATTATATCAAATTTGATCCTCAAACTTTTGATTGTTATATATATTTTGTTTTGAATATTTATTTTTTAATTTCATCTCTTAAAATTTAATTTTTATATTAACTTTGGTCCTTATTTTTATAATTATTATTTGCTTTTCCCTTATCATTTTTTTATTAAAAAATTTTATGTATCAAATTTGATCCTCGTTCTTTTGATTGTTACTTATTTTATTTAAAATAATTTATGAGATGTTAATTATTATTATTTTAATTTCTTCATCTTTTTTTTTAGATTTGATCTCTATTATTTTGATTATTATTTATTTTATTT